CCCCCCCCCCCTCCTGATGGTCGTTGTTGTACTGTTTTTTTGCTAGCACCCCAACAACTCTCAATTTTTATTCTATCTAGTAGAATCCCAAGATAGAATGGTATATTGGCAAATATCTTAATGTTCTGATTTCATGATCCATGGCACTTGAATTGTCTGTTGAGCTGCTGCTTCTGAGATTTCATGCATTTTGGGTTAGGTATTGTTTTTCGCAGTCTAAAGAATGTTCTTGCGATCAGCGGGATACTTTTGGAGCGTGTATCACAAAGACATGGATAAGTATGGTTCGTAAACAAACACAGGCAGATAATGACACCATTTGATTACGAAAATGTTCACCAGATACCACCGGATGCTTGCACTAGTCTGAGATATGAACAATACAAAATTTTGGCAATGTTGTATGGTTAAAGCTACATACAATATATCAAAGCCTTCACTATTTCATTAAGGCAATGCAATGGACACAGCATACATAGCAATTAACATGCATCCATGGTTATACTCTAGTACCAGTAAAACTTGGGTGTTGATCTAGTGGATAGAGCACATCCAAACTTATTATTTTCATATGTATATACATGCATTTCATATTGTAGCATTATTGTAATCATAGACTGCTGAAGCACACAAACCATCAGCATCTGCTGCATATTTCCTGAAAATACAGAACCCTTTCAATATTACAGGTGACCAAATTAAAGATTGCAATATATCATGGTTTCTTCAAGCTGTCGAAGGAGACTTCTCTAGCTATTTTAGCACCCCTTTCCTTCGCCATATAAAGTCCTACATGATGCATCAGCTCCTGCACGCCCAAAACAATAAATTAAGACACCGTGTAATTTAATCAAGATCATAACAGCAAATTCTTGACAAGAAGGTCACAGGTTCGAGCTGTGAAAACAGCCTCTTGTAGAAATGCTGGGTAAGGGTGCGTACAATAGACCCTTGTGGTCCGGTACTTTCTCGGACCCAGCGCATAGCGGGATTTTATTGCACCGATTTGCTCTTTTTTTTCTTCTTTCATAACAGCAAATTCTTAACTTGTTATAAGTCACCTGAGGATGTGGTGAAATATCTTTGCTGTTTCTTGCCATGGAGGCTGGAAAATCAAAAGTGGCACATCCTTTAGAGTAAACTACTACTTGTTCCAAAGGATTGAGGAAACCGCGGTTCTTAGCTGATAATGTAGAGCAAACGAAATCCAGCACACAAATGTCTGTACATACCCCTACAACCAACAACTTGGTACAAATAAACAAAAAGTCAGTCAATATTCTTCAACCATATGAACATGAATATGTTAATGACTATCCAGTAGGAAGAAGTTGTAGAGAAGCAAAAAAGGGAGCATACAGTTTGAATTTTGTTGTTTTTCACCCAATCAACAAATACATTAGAGCCATCCTCCTGAAAAGAACCAATATAGCCATCGTAGCAATCTTTACGCCTGATTGTTACGTTTTGTTCCTTCTCCAACCATCTTAGTGCTGCACAGGTGGGTAAATCATCCAACAATCAGTACAAATAAGACCATAACTTGACTTCAAATACTGTAATATCGTCAGATGAATACTGCTGCAATTTCATACGTTGTATCTATAACTTTTTGTATAGTTTCTAAATCTCAGAATATTATTAGACTTTAACTTATATAAACCGATGATAGTGTGATTTTCCTAGTTACTAATTCTTACTTTTTTATGGTGGTTACTTTATAGTTATCTTTTAGATATCTTATACTGTAAGTATTACTCCCTCCTTTTAAAAAACAATTGTCTTGGTTTGACCTGATTTAATAAAAAAGAAAAAGACTTATATGTGGTATTAAATAAAGTATAACATTTGTGTGACTGTAAAATTTTTGAAACTTGTGGTCTCAAACCTGTTATATTACTTGTATGGTTATAAATGATTCTTATTAAGAAAATATTGAAAGGTGTTAATCTTTTCGAAAGAGACTAATAAATAAATTGTGTCAATCTTTTTGATTCGGTGTATAGAAATTAAACTTGAACTAAGCTATAGTCCTTAGCTAGTAAGCAGATAATACCAGGAACCAAATTGGATTCATCAGTGCCAGTGATACAGTGAGGAGGATAAGGGTGTTCAAGTTTGTGAGGTTGGTGTGAATCAAGAAAGGCAAGAATAGGCCATTTCTTGTCACAGAACAATCTAGCCAGCCTTTTTGATTCCTCAATCATTTCAGAGATCTGCCTGTTTGGCTCTCTTGGTGCCTATAATTAACAAGAAAATTCAATTAAACAAATTGGGCAAGTAGCTATAGCTAGAACAAATTAAAGAGATATGGAGCTAAAATAGAGAGCAAGTTTATGAACCAGATTTCCAGCTCCAACAGTGCAAAAGCCATTGATGATATCCACAAGAACAAGACCAGCTTTCACATCTTCAGTGATGATCAGTGATTCCTCCTCTATGGGAATTTCATTCTTCAAAATATCTATTGTTTTTATTACCATCTTTGTTCTTTCCAAGTTAAAAATTTTCTTATTGTTGGAAAGGGTTATAGATTGATATTTATTAGAATACTGAATGATTATCTAAGATTAGTCTAATTACGTTGTCCCACCACTATGCTGATATTTATCTAAAGTAGGCTGACTTTTCCACTATAAGCCAACTTAATTTTGCTAGGATGCGTGCTGCCTTTTGCATTTATGGGGATTTTTTAAAATGACATATTTTGAACTTAAAAACATTTTGTGACACGTTTTCATGTCTAAATTGTTTAGTACTATAATGATTTGAATTTGAATTAAAAATGAATATACATGATTCGTATAACTGATCCAATTAGTTCGGAATTAAGGCAGGCTTGATTGTTTGATACGCTTTCAAGTCTCATATAAAAGAAAGAGTCATTTTAACTCTCATTTCAATTCTAAATTAAGAATCCAACTATAGTTAAATTCTTCTATAAATATTCAAAAAAGATAATAGTACATTTATTATTCTCGTGGCTGGGAGACATAATCTTTTAGCTCTATTTATCTGAAAAATAATTAGGAGGAGAAATTAAAGTAAAAGGAGAAATAGCGCTCACCCTTCGTTCACTGTAACACACACACTACAATTCACGTCTAAATTGTGTATAGTATTATAATTAAATTATACACAATTCATATTACTGATCTAAACTAGTTCGGAATGGAGGCTTGTTTGACTTTTTGATACGCTTTCAAGTCTAGAGATCTCATGCATACATTTTTAAAATGAATAGAAGAAAGGGTCATACGAAAACTCTCATTTCAACTCCAAATTAAGAATCCAACTTTAATTAAATCAATTACAAACAACAACAACAACAACAACAAACCCAGTATAATCCCACAAGTGAGGTCTGAGGAGGATAGTGTGTAATACGCAGACCTTACCCCTACCTTCAAGAAGGCAGAAAGACTGTTTCTAGTACGCCCTCAGTTTAGGAAAGGTAAAAGGAAGGGCAACAACAAGCACACCAATTAGGAAACCGAAGCGAAAATACAAAACTAACAATAGGTACTGCAATTAGAAAATCGAAACGAAAGCAACAATAAGTAATAACTGAAGTTAAGAAATACGAAAATACACAAATGACACTAAGTCATGTATTAAAGCTACTATTACAAACAAGGACAACGCTCGACTACCTAACCCTTTACCTTTATTCTCAACCTCTAATTAAATTCATATGCAAATATTCAAAAAATATAACAGTCGTTAATTCTGCCTAGGGGTGGCATGTGGGCCGGTCCGGGCCCTAAACGGGCCAAGTGGGCGGTCCAAACGGTCCTGGTCCCGGTCCAGTCCCTAACTAAACGGGCCAAACGATCCCGGGCTAAATAGTCTTTTTCTAGGAACCGACCCGGGATCGGGCCCACGAACTCATGGTCCCAGACTAAACGGACTAGGCCCGCGGACTAAATGGGCTAAGTGGGCCCAACGGCTAAAATATTAATTTTTTTTAAAAAAATAAAATTAAAATTAGAGACAAAAAGATGTAAAAAAAAATATCTAAGGCAATGCCTTGTAAATTTTATTATAGAATTGTGACCTAAACTTTTTAATTCAAAATTTAAAGAAAAAAATATTGTAAAGAGATATTCAAAGCAATGCCTTGTAATTTTATTATAGCATTAAAAAAATATGACAATATCTTTCTTAGTCTTCCTCCCCCCTATGGAATGAGCACAACAAGGTGTTAATACCACCATTGAGAAGAAAAAGAAACTAATCAAGATGTGCCAAAATACAAGTTACATAATACATACTAATTTTTGTTCATATAAGATACATGATATCTCTTACAAACTTCATAAATCCTTCAAGGTTCGAAGGAATTTCTGTTGGTGGTGGCGGAAAAGTAGCTTGGTCATCGCCGCTTCCATTGTCGGGCGAAGCAACATCCTCTGCAAGTTCAGCTAGCAGTTCTTCGTAAGCTTCGTCTTCCTCTGGTTATGATTCAACAAGTTCAAAATTTTTTCTTTCCGAACAAATTCAATCTCTAAAAAGTATTGATTTTTCCAAACTCTCCCTCATAGACGCTCTATAATCACCGAGTTGAAGTCTTGCTTGACTGAAAGCGCTCTCCGATGCCACTGTTGAAGCTTGAATAGTTAAAATATTTCGGGCCATCCTTGAAAGAACCGGAAAGTATTTTTCTTTGTCCTTCCACCATTGTAAAAGATTAAAGGTGCCGTCGGAATTCACTTCCTCAATTTATTGCGACAAATAAACTTCAAGCTCATTTAGTTGTGAAAAATCATTACTACTAGAACCTTGAGAACCCCTAAACCCCGCCCAAGCACTAAGTGCTCTTACTCCCACAGTTCTTTTAGATGATTGAGAATCAGAAGAAGAAGGAGTTGGAACATTTGGTCTAGCATGATTTAATGCAACTTGATAAGCATTATAAATAGTTTGAGCATTTATTCTAATTGAGGCTATTGCTTCCGGAAGTCCAACCAACTCAACATCTTCAAGTGCTAAACCATTATAAATAATTTCATACCAAAATTGAGGACCTTCAAATTTCATACAAGGATTTAACAAAGANATAGGGGGAATAGGGAAAAAATATTTTTTAAACTTTTTTCTCATAGAATCAATAGCAAGTTTATGAATTTTTCCACCCTCTGAAAAATGAGTAAACAAATTTGCAAGTTCTGCAATATAAACTAAACAGTTGGAAATAGTAGGATAATATTGCCCAGAAAATTCATTTGTAGCAATATAAAATTTTTCTAAAAAATCAACAAGCATTTTAACATTAGCCCAATCCGCATTCGTAAGGTGCTCATCATCATCACTTACATGTGCATTAAACGTTAAGTTTATGGGGTTTCTATATTCATATGCAACAACCAAACTTTCATACATATAATTCCATCTAGTTGGACAAGGTTTAGGAACCTTTCTTTCTCTTAGGCCAAATTCATCGCATCTTTTAAAATATTCTCTAAGTCTACTTCTACGGTTTGAATAAAAAAGCCAGTTAAGAGCGTAAGCACATAACATTTACTATTTTTTCCAATTCTTCCCGATCGTTTTTTGGATCATAATATAAAATATCACCGGTAATGGTGTTAATTCCCGACTGAAATTGATTTGAACCGGTACTAGGTCACCCTGACTAGGACTAGGTATACTTCTCCCCTCGGCCAAAACCTTTAGACGTTCATATTTTATTCTATCTCTAGGGTATTTTTTTATGTGTTTAGCCAAAGTTCCCTCCCCCCCTCCCCGCGGTCCAGCAGCATATTTAAAAGCTAACTCAATACCACAAGTTTTACACATAGCCTTATTTTGTGGAACTAGTTGTGTAAAAAATGGCCAAACATAAGATGTTTTCGTCCGTTTTGTAGGTTGTCTAGAAAAAGTAGGGACAGTAACAGGAGTATCAGATGGGTCATCATTTGGATTAGCAGGGTTATCACTAGTTGGGTTAACATCAGGAGCATGACTAGTGGGTGTATCATCATCCGGTTGAGTTTCATCAAGATCAATTTCCTCATCATCATTTTCATCAATAGTATTATAATTAGTAGAATAAAGAGCATTCATTAATTCATGGTCTAATTATTCACCGGGTGCAATATTATGGTAAAATTGACTATCGGTAAATTGTAATAAACTATTATCGGTATCAAGAATAACAGGTGTAGGACGGATATGGGGTTTGGTTCGAGGAGCCGGGGGCAAGGGATGAGGAACAACAATACCACTAGATTCGCCACTCTTGGATTTTTCCTTATTCTTATTTTTGGAAAAATAATTTTTTAAGGAAGCCATCTTAATTAATCAAGTAGTAGTAAATAAATAAAACAAACAAAAACTATAATATTAAGACTTAAGAGTTGGAACGAGTTTACCGAATTGACGAACAACTTGTTGAAAATTGATTATCGTTGAAGACTTGAATACTTCAATTCACCAACTTCACAATTTTTTCACAAATTATAACAATAGTAAGCAATAGTACCAAATATAGAAGAAAATTAGAGAGAGATTGTGATAGATTGATATTGATTTTGTAAGAAAAAATGAAAGAATGAAAGAATGAGGGAGTATTTATAGTTGAAAATAAGGAAAAAGTGTAATTATAAAAAGTTTGGTGTTAAAACAAAGTTGTGGGGTTAATTTAAATGGTTATTTTCTAAATAACCAACGACTATTTTTGACAGCCAAAACGGCTATTTTTTAAAGTTTCCAAACGGCTCTTTTTTTTTAAAAAAATTTACCGTTGGGACAGTTTGTCCCGCCAAGAGACCAGTTCGGTCCCTTGGTAGGTCAAACGGTCCCGGTCCTAACGGTTCAAAGTCAAGAACCGGTCCACGAGACCGGCCCATGCCCACATCTACCGATCCTGGCCCGTTAGGCCCGTTTGGATCGCGGTCCCGAACCGACCCACTTGCTACCCTTAATTCTGCCAAAGGGACTTGCATTCCTGAATTATCTTTTTTACCTCTTTTGATCAACGTTTGTCAACCCTTTTCTTCTTTTGTTTGTAAAATTAGTTAGTATAAATTTTCTTACTATAATCACCGCATACTGGGGTGCATACTTTGGTAAATATGAATCGAGACTAAGTAATTTCGGTATGATATTTGATCTTTTAATTTTCAATACGTATCAGTATGCATTTAAGAAAATCGGTATTTGATATGATATACGATATTTGTACAAAAATATCATGAAAATTAGAATTTTGAAAAGCTAATTTTTTTTTTTTGGGGGGGAGGGGGGTAGTTTTTTCTTGGTTATTTTATACAGTGCGGAAATGTTACTTTTAGATGTTAAGATTAGGCTTTGGCACGAAAAAATGAATTATTAAGTTTTAAAATAAAATAAGCAGATACTTATTTAGAATAAAAGGCAAATTGTTAGTATTAAAACAAAATAAGCCTAAATAAAGGGGAACGAATATAATGGTTTCATGTAGCTTATTACTAATTTAGAACTAATCACTCGCGGTTGAGTGTTGATTGTTTACTCAATAATTCATATTTTAAAGTTTAAAAGTTAC